TTATTTGAGAAATAAAAATCTAGAAGCCTGGCCAACAATCACCAATAAAATTTTATTAGCTTAATAGAACATATTTGGCCCAAACTATGTTATGGAAGAAATTTGTGGAAAGTGCAGGGGAGAAGGAAAGAGATGCTGAGTTGGTCTGAGGCTATAATATGGTAAAGAACATGAACAAAGCTTGAAAATCGTACCTTTTGGACTCCAACTCCCAGAATCTTACCTGGTCACTGGCCATATTGGTTACAGTATTCCCTCCAAAGTAAATTTTCCAAATAAAAGCTAACTTTTCCATCTTGAGGGAAAGTAAATTTTCCAAATAAAAGCTAACTTTTCCATCTTGAGGGTCATTAAGACATTGTTGCTTTCAGCACAACTCACTCACACATTCTGGCTTTGTTATTCACACTGTTTTTCTTTATCAGAATCACATCTATGCACATCTCTATGAGTTCAGTTGCTCACACATGTCAGTATTGCGAATAAAGATGGATTAAACAATGCAGATGTATTCAAACACATTCAAGGCATGCCAAGTTTTATCCCGATTTATCCCAGGTCTATTCGCATTGGTTATTCATGCAGCTGACAATGCAAATCTTTTAGGAAAACTCCGGAAAAAGCCCAAGATCGATTATCCCAGGTTAAGTGGTTTTTTTGGTAACCTGCCCCAAAACTTAATTGGATGCATTCAAAATGCATGTAAACAACAAAGATTCAGCCTAGATTCTACCAGGATTATTTTCACCTTCTGAATAACCAACCCCTCAGTTTCCTAATGCAAATCTCTTTCTTGAAGCTGCTATAGCAGCAGAGGGAAAGAAATTTGTACTTGTACTTGTAATTAGTTTTCTGAGTATATGATGTCCAGATGAGAGCTTGTCTTAAAGCCTCAGAGCTAGACAAAGGTCAATAGTTTCATTTATATATTGATGTTAATAATTTTCCTTCAGCACAGTGTCACTTCACTGAACATCAGTCATTCTGCATAGTTCTGATCACTTACTCATATTCAAACTTTGTTTATCCAGTAAATGCCTTTAATGTATCTGATGTTCTTTTTTTCTCTCCCCTGTATTTCTTCATAGACATTAGAAACTCTCCCACTAGTTTTGTATGCAACTGTTATGCTTTTTCAATTTGTTAAATAAGTTTTTAAATCCCTTTCAGTAAAAAAAAATGTTAAGAAGATGTTAGTTCCTTCTTTAACTCATTTATCAACTATTATGATTGCTTCTAAGAGTAATCAGGATATATCTCAATGCTTAAATTATCACTGACTGATTTGAGAAAGGAAAGGGTGAGTTTAGAGAATCTCAGAAAATAAGAAGCGGCAACTATTTTTCTTGACTCATGATTCAGCAATTAGGGTTCCCAGATGTCAAAGAATTTCAAATTTCAAGAAAAGAGATGCCACCTTAACATTAGGAAGAAAGTTTTTACTATATGAGAAGTTCAACAAAAGAACAGATTGCTTTAGAGCAGGGGTAGGCAACCTTTTTGAGCTGGGGGCCGGTCCCCCAAAGTCCTCCCCTCCGCTGGGCCGAGGGGGGGGAATGACAGTGTACACGCGCACGTGCGCACCCCCCGCCACCGCGCACGATCCCCCCGCGTGTGCTGCTGCCTACACTGCCAGTGCTGCGCGCGCTGCCACGACCGCCTCCATGCATGTCGTGGTCGTCATTTTGGAAATCAAAATGGCGGTCGCGGTGCACATGTAAGTACCGGGACCTGGGCCGGAACCGGCCCGTGGGCCGTAGGTTGCCTTAGAGGATGGTGGACTCTCCATCTTTGGAGGCCTTTAAACAGAGGTTGGATGGGCATATTTCAGGAGCACTTTAGCAGTGTCTTCTTGCATGGCAAGGGGTTGAAGTAGATGGCCATTGTGGCCCCTTCCAACTTGAAGCTTTTATGATTCAGGGCTAGGGCCCCCTTCTTAGGGTGAGGGAAAGGAATCTTAGGATGAGAATTCGACTTGAAAAGTAGCTGTATATATTTTCCCTCACCTGTTAGAACTAGACTGCATTGGCAATGCAGAAATAATGCAGTTTGATACCACTTGAACTGCCATGGCTACATGAAATGGAATCCTGGGATTTGTAGTTTGTTGTTGTACCAGAGCTCTCTGACAGAGAAGGGTAAATCTCCCACAAAACTACAAACTCCAGAATTCCATAGCATTGAGCCATGGCAGTTCAAGTAGTGTCAAGCTGCATTATTTCTGCATTGCAGATGCAGATGCAGCCCTAGGACTTTATCACACAAGGGAAATCCCATGCAGAAATGGGGTTTAAAACAGGAAAAAAAAACACAACTTTGCTTTTAAAGTGTACTTAATCCAGACGGAAAGTAGTCAAAAGCTGCTTCTTTTAACTTTCTGAAAGTAAAAAGAAGTGGCTTTTGACTACTTTCTGTTTGGGTTAAGCACACTTTAAAAGTGATGTGTGTGAAAATCTAGCTGCATTTGTGGGTTTTTCCCACTTTTTAAATCCCGTTTCTTCATGGGATTTTTCCATTTGATGAGGTCCCTAGTGTTTTTTATTTGCATGGTGTACTCTGTGTAACTAGGGTTCATACTTAATGACATTGTTGAGGGCTGCCCCTTGTAACCTCACAAGAGTCCACTTTCTGTGATATCAGAAACAATTGTCCCTAGGTTTCAGGTTTGGGCCCTGACATCTGTTATCCCAAGTATGGCCTTCTGCACCTCCCTCTTTTTCAATATCAAGTTGAAATCAAAAGTTATGGTTTAGGCATGTAGACAAGAGGTCACCCCCAGTGCAGGAAACTGGTCATGATATAACGAGATCTGACTGGCTTAGCATGGAGAAAGCTAAAGCACACAGCCAGGATAGATCAGTTAAAATTGGAATCTGCATAATCCCTTCACTGATAGGAGTGATGGTGGGTTATAGACCTGATGCTTACAAATGAACACAAACCCAAGTACACTTTGCTCTGGAGGAGAGACTCCCATTGTCCAGAGACATTTACACTGACTGACTGGTCATTTACAAGTTCCCTTCGTTTTAATCCCAGAATCTGCC